TACTGCCATCTATTTAGATTGAAGTGTATCTAGGATGTAACAATGGTAAATTGTCTTTAAGTATCTAGATTTAAAAAAAAAAATTGTAAGAATTGGGATAGTTAGAATACTTAGCCAAGTTAGTTTTAAAAGTATACACAGAACATTGTTACTTTTGTATGTCAAACATTGCCATTATCTGTGCTTTTCTCCCACAGCCCACATTTGTTATCTTCACAAAGCCTTTTTTTTTTTTTTTTTGAGACAGAGTCTTGCTTTGTTGCCCAGGCTAGAATGAATGCTGTAGCGTCAGCCAAACTCCACGCAACCTCAAACTCCTGGGCTCAAGCATATCTTCTGCCTCAGCCTCCCGAGTAGCTGGACTACAGGCATGCGCCACATGCCGCTAATTTTTTCTATATTATTAGTTGGCCAATTAATTTCTTTCTTTTATAGTAGGATGGTCTCGCTTCTGCTCAGGCTGGTTTCGAACTCCTGACCTCGAGCAATCCATCCGCCTCAGGCCTCCCAGAGTGCTAGGATTACAGGTGTGAGCCACCGCGCCCAGCCTTCACCAAGTCTTAAGTGTCATCTCTGTTCTGCTCCGACGAGCACAATTCACTAGGTGCCAAGTACAGAAGAACTCACATTGTGTGTTGAGTGCCCTTTGAGACATTAGAGGAACTAGTCCCTTTGGAAGTGTTTCTCAAAGTGTGGTCCAGGAACCTCTTGCACCAGAGAACCTTCTAGAATGCTCATATTCTACAGCAGGAGAGAAGAAAACAGGTCTAGAAATGAAAGAGTAGAGGAATCCATGAGACCAGGAGATGACTGTGAACACAGAAGCAGCTATCCCAATTCACCCTTACGGACTCAGAATTGCTGGCATTTGCACCCAGGAACCTGTATTTTAAAAATAATCACCCCACACTACACTCATACACATTAAAATTATAAAAAATTGTTTAAATAAAACACTAAAAATAAAATTTTAGTGTTCGTGTATTTAGCCTTGGGTTCTTATTGTTGTGTTGACTGTATTTCTCCCTCTCATGTTAATTTTCATTTAGAAACTATTTTTCCCATTTTGTTTCTTATGAAAAGATTAAATAGTACCACAGTTGAGGTGTCCTCTGTTTTCCTGAAATTAATTTCTCCTCATTTGAAATAGCTTTTTATTCTGTTACAGTGTAAAAGACTCTAATAGTATAGGTAGATTCAGTATCAAAAGAGAGTTTCATCCTATGATAATGTTTAGATCCTTTTGGAATGCTGATATTCTGGAGCAGGGAGAAGAAAACAGCCCAGAAAGCACACAGACTAGAAGCATCCATGAGATCAGGAGAAAATTCACAGAGAGACATTGCAGAAGTCGATGGAAGAGAACATTTTAAATTGGGATACATGGGAAAATGTGAGAGAGATTTTAAAAGATATTTCAAATCTAAAATGATTTTTGTTTCTTTGTCATACAAACTGAAATAGTATTTTTAAAAAATCTTTCCCCAGCTTCTAAATAACTGCAGTACTTCACCAGTCTCTGTTCACTATAGTAAATCATACTGTGCTGCTTTGAAAGGAAAATAATTTTGGCAATTTTGTTTTAGCTTGTGATCTCACAGGAGGAAAGTAATTCTTAGAGAGAAGCTTCACAGATTTAATATAAGATAAACAATTCTTTTCATGAAACTTAAAATTAAATATAACAGAACTGTGGGCATAATAATTCATTTTAATATTAATATAAAATCAAGCACAACTTCTTTAGTCTGATTACTTTGGCATGTGAGCATACCAAAGGATCAAAAAATAAATAACAATTAGCTAAAACTTGAAATGAGAAAAGAAAATATGCTGAAAATTTATAGGTGATTTTATGTCATTTATATTAAAATATTATTTCTGTTTTCAGATAAGTGGCAGAAATAAAATAAAATAAAATTTAAAAGAAGCTGTGAAAAATGCAATGCATGAGAACTTTGTTGTGATGATTTTTGGAAGGTGAGAAAATCTTAGTTCTTAGTCATTTACATGAGAAGTAATTTAGATTCTTTCATTTAACAAAGGATTCATTGTGCACCTACTATGTACTTGGCTCTATTCTATACACTGTGGGTTATAGCAGTGATACAATGAGAAGAGAAAGTAAAGTAGGAAAGAAAAATTGGAAGTGACAACAAAAAGGAGTGGTGTTGCAGTTTTACATATGGGAGTCAAAGAGGACTTTGCTGAAAAGGTGACAGTAAAATATAGTCATTCAGGACATTTGAGATTGAGCCATGGAAAATATTAAGCCATGAGTCTGAGAAGAACATTCAAGATAAACAGAGTAGCAGATACAAAGGTCCTGGGGCAGCAATGTGCCTGCCATATTCAAGGAACAGCAAGGAAGTCACTGGGGCTGGAATGGAGTGATGGAGGGAGTCTGCAGTTGGGGACAATGCTAGAGAGCAGGCCAGATTGGGAGAGTCTCAGAAGTCATTAACAAGTACCTTGGCTGTCATTGTGAGTGACTTGAGACTCCTTCCCCAAAGGGATATGAAGAGAGGAATAACAAGATATGACTTTTATTCTCAAAGGAACATCCTGGCTGCTAGGTTAGGAAGAGATTATAAAGAAATACGGGCAGGGAGAACTGTTCAGAAGCTACAGCAGCAATTCAGGTGAGAGATGATGGTAGCTCTAACGAATGTTGGTAGCAGTGGAGTTGAAGACTGGTGGGATTCTAATTTATTCTGAAAGCAGACTGATACAATTTGCTGATAAAATGGATGTAGCTTGTGGAAGAAGGAGAAGAGTCAAAATGACTCTAAGGATTTTAACCTGAGTAATTAGGAGGATGAAGGTGCTATTTACCGAGATGAGAAAGATTACAAAAAAAAAGCAGGTGTAGGGGGACAGTCACCAGGAGTTTGATTTGGTGCATATTAAGTTTGTGGTGCTTATCATATTTCTGCTAGAATTGTTGAGTACTCAGTTGTACATGTAGCTCTGGATTCTAGGGGGAGAGTTCCAAGCTGGAGTTGCAGACATGGAAGAAAAAGTCATGTAAGTGATATTTAAAGCCACGAGGCTAGAGGCAGAAAAAGAGAAGAGGTCTAAGGGCTGAATTCTCATGGAGAGATTGTAGTGCCAGCAGGTAAATGGAGAAGTTAGACTGAAAGTAGTATTACTCCATTATTAATAGCTACCTGCAAGCATTGACAATGTATAGGCTCTAGTGGACCTGAGTGGCTTTTTACTTCTTGTAGGATTCCTTTGGTCATTTGCCATTTATCCACAACTTAACCTCTGTCTTAAGCTCTTGCTCTTTCACACCCACCACCCTCCCTTCATGCCTGCATCACACCTACATTGAATATCCTTTCTGGCAGTGCAACGTCATTTGAGCATAAAATGCATTTTGAAAACTGTCAAAAGTAATTTGGGGATTCATCTGGGGAATGAAATGGGTAACCAAGTCGGTTAACATTGTTTTTGATCAAAAATTAGGTGTGACCAAGTCTACTGTGTGGTTTATACACCCGATCCAAAAGCAATTTCAACAGGCATGCTCTAAAATGTTTTGAGCAATGACAGCATTACTAAAATAAATATATAGTTTCCAAGAAGACTATGTTTAAGGCTATCATATATCCTATACATATACAAGTTCTGTTAACCTGAATAACAATATTTCTTAACATTTTTTATCTTGTATGTTTATATAGATGCTTAAAATCCACAAACGTGTGTATCCATAAATAATATCTAACTGAATCTTCATTTTCCAATGTAAGAGTTTCTTAAACAACTGTTATTTTAATTTAAGAGGATTACCTTACCAAAAGCAATGGAAAACAATTATTTTAATGAGCAAAGGGTTTACCAAAAAAATTTAGAATATTTGTCCAGATATTATAAAAATTGCTGATTGTGAACACCACAGATTTACAAATAAGCGTCCTTGGCTGTCTGGCTAATACTAAATTTGTAGCAAACGTATCCTCTTTAAATTATGTCATTTATTTGTTCACTGAACAAATATTAATATTTATTAAGTATTGGTATGTTCCAGATGCATGTCATGTGGAGAAGAGTTTGCTCCTTTCCATTCTTCCAAATGCATCTCGAGAGATTTACATGCTTAAAGAAGAGAATCTGAAATTACATCACTGACTTTCTCCACATCCGGGTTATGTGGAGGACACGTTTTCACTAGACTTGAGGAAGATTGGAAGAGCTGGGGAGGTGTCCAATTCTCCTTTTCTGCTTACTGCGCCCAGACTCGGATCATTAGCCACTTACCCTGTAACATATAAAGCTCCCTCTCTTTCATGCAGACGTAGCCCAATTACTATCCTTTCCTCTGACTTGACCCATCCTTAAGTGAGGTGTAATAGACAGTGGAGCTTTTAGTTTTCCTTAGGGGCTAACTATAGATTTTGTTCTAGGTTCTGGGAATGCAAAGATGGGTTCTTGTTCTCAAAAAAAATCATCACTTTTTGAGGAGAAAGGAATACGCATAAGTGATTACATCAGAATATGATAACTATTATGATGCTATAAATCCTATAAACTCAAGGTACAGTGAGAATTGGGGGGAAACTCAAAGGGTTCCTGGCTTCACAGAGAAGGTACTGGCACTTCGAAAAGAAGTAGAGTCAATCCTCCACAAAACTTGGCACGATGTGCTGTGTGGAAGTCCTTGGGACTCTACCTTTATTTTTTTTTTTTTTTGACCTTTAATCTTCTAGCTATTCCTGCTTTTCAAAGCCTTTTCAATAGTTTTACCCTAACACTTCATTTTGAATAAAGTCTGATGTTCATTCTAGGACTTACCCTGTGAAATGTTTTATAGTCTTCATTCCAAGACTCACAACCATACCGAGGCAAAAACATTATAATTGGCTCATCGTTTCTTACTTAAAATTGGTCACTATACTCATTCTTCTTAGTAATGTTGACACTAATTGCCTAAAGGAGGTAAATGATTTCTAAATGTGGGTTTACATGTTTCTTATTATATATAATAAACTTACAATGTTTTTAATGTGTTTCACCAGTATGGTCAGCTTCACATCCTTGTATGATATGACTAACTGCACCTGAGGCTTCTTGTCCGAAAACTTCTCATCTGATAAAACAATAGGGTTCCAGTGAGTTAATTTGGAAGTAGCTCATCACAGAATAAATCAACATTTAAAGACTAAAACTGGACCAATGAATAATATATAAGGAAAACATTCTTCAGATAATGTTGGAATCTTAATAGTCTTCAGGAAGCAGGGTTGGTTGGGTAGGGGTGGGATTTGTGTCTAATCTTCCTGAACTAACTCTTTTCCTAAATTCTATGCTTTGTTTTGATTGGTGACATTATTTCCTCAATTACTTAAAATCTCAGTGTCATTTTTGGCTCTGATTTTCTTCTTACTGTTCAGTGTAATGAGCTTAAAGTCTTAGAGATCACAGAGGTTAAAAGTGTGGACTTTAGAAGTCAGTGAACCTGGGGTTCGAGTCCCAGCACTACTACTTATGACTGTGTCATCATGACTAAGTTAATCAATTTTATGTAAAATGGAAATAATAGTTAACTACTTCTGGGTAGTTGAGATGATTAGCTGATAAAATTCAAAAATTGTCATGTAGTAACACTCAATTAAGTGTTTGTAAAATTACTAATAATCTTTCTTTATATATTTGCACTCATCTCTTCCTTTCTTGTCCCATAGCACCTAATTGAGATTCATATAAACATTTTGCCTGAAATACTAAAACGTTCTCTTACCCTCCCTCCCAAACCCAAATCTACTTGTACACATTTACCAGTGTAAGTTTCCTACAGCAACTTTTATAAAATTACTCTTTTGGTTGAAGTACCTTTCATGGCTTTCCATTGCCTATGAAGAAAAGGTCTAAATTTCTCGGCCTTGTATTGTTGCTTCTTTTTAAAATTTATTTCAGCATATTACAGGGGTACAAATGTTTAGATTACATATATTACCTTTGCCCAACCTGAGTCAGAGCTTGAAGCGTGTCCATCCCGCCAGACCATACACACTGCACCCATTAGGTGTGAATATACCCATCCCCTCCCACCTGCCTGAAAGCCGATGAATGTTACTACTATATTTGCACATAAAAGTGTTGATCAGTTAATACAAATTTGATGGTGAGTACATGTGGTGCTTGTTTTTCCATTCTTGTGATACTTTACTTAGAAGAATGGGCTCCAGCTCTATCCAGGATAATACAAGAAGTGCTAGATCATCATTGTTTTTTGTGGCTGAGTAGAACTCCATGGTATACATATACCACGTTTTATTAATCCACTCATGTATTGATGGGCACTTAGGTTTTTTCCACATCTTTGCAATTGTGAGTTGTGCTGCTATAAACATTTAAAAGCATTTAAACATTTAAAAAAACATTTAAAAAAACATTAAAAAAAACATTTAAAAACATTTTTTATAGAATGTCTTTTGTTCCTTTGGGTAGATGCCCAGTAATGGGATTGCTAGATCAAATGGTAGTTCTACATGTAGCTCTTTGAGGTATCTCCATATTGCTTTCCACAGAGGTTGTACTAGTTTGCAGTCTCACCAGCAATGTATGAGTGTTCCTATCTCTCTGCATCCACACCAGCATTTATTGTTTTAGGACTTTTTGATAAAAGCCATTCTCACTGAAGTTAAGAGATATCTCATCATTGCTTCTTATTACTGTGTTGTATTCCTCTGTATTATTCTATATTGTCATCCTTATGTTTAGTTCTACAAACATGCTCTACTATTTCCTTCTAGCTGCTTCTTTTATTATTCCCTTCATTTGAAAGGATTTTGTTAATCATTTTTGTCTATTGATCTTCCACCTTTCTTCAAAGCCTAGTTAAAATGCAAAATAGTTTCTGTGGTCACCTCTCCCTGAACTCTCCCTAGCACAGCCCTTATCATTTAATATTTATGTTGTAATTATTTTACATGTCTCAATTTGTTTAGTGGATTACAGTCTACCTCCGGGCCTACTTCTTTTCTCTACATCTCTAAGGGACACAAGTCAACACTTCCTCCATTAATATACACAACAAACATTTAATAACAAAAATAGGCTGGGTGTGGTGGCTCATGCCTGTAATCCTAGAACTCTGGGAGGCTGAGGCAGGAGGATTGCTTGAGGTCAGGAGTTTGAGACCAGCCTGAGCAAGAGTGAGACCCTGTCTCTACTAAATATAGAAAGAAATTATCTGCACAACTAAAAATATGTAGAAAAAATTAGCCAAGCATGGTGGCACATGCCTGTAGTCCCAGCTACTTGGAAGGTTGAGGCAGAAGGATCGCTTTAGCCCAGAAGTTTGAGGTTGCTGTGAGCTAGTCTGATGCCACGGCACTCTCGCCTGAGCAACAGAGTGAGACTCTGTCTCCAGAAAAAAAAAAGGAAAACAACATTAATTTTTCTTTTGAGTTGCATCATTACATCATTAAAATGAGAACTTTAGCTTTTTAGTTAGAAACTTCTGGTTTATAGCCCAAGGATTAAGCATAGTTTACAGTTTTACTAATATTTTCTTTGATAATCTCTGGTTGTATATTCTCTGAGGAAACTCAGAGAGAAGAAATTTATTAATAACAAAAACTTTGTCAATATTCAACTGGGAGCTCATTGTGGTCCATATTGTTTTCTGATAGTCAATCCTAATTCTCTAATATTTGAAAATTACACTTGAGCAGTATGTTTTCTCCCCCAAAGCCTTGTACATGTCTATTTGAGTAGTTTACACATTGTATGTAGGTAATATTAATTAATTTTATTGTTAATAATGTGAATTACTGACATTGGAAACAGTGATTTTGGCAACTGAAATGGTAATTACATAAATATAATAAAATTCCTTAAAATATCTTGATTACAATAACAGAGACATTGTGAGTTAGAGATATTTTGAGTTAATTCTGAATGTAGAATTGAAGTAAATTGCATTTCATAATAATAGAATGTTGTTGAACTTTTGGTATAAAGATGCTAAAAATACTAATGACTCTTTTATGCACAATGAACATTATATTTGAATTAAAGAGTGAAAGAATTATTAAGCAGAAACTCAGTGTGTAATCAGAGAAATTTTAATTCAAAGGCAGAAATTCGCATACATTTATGATTGAGAGTCTAAATGGTAAAGGTACAGTTGCTACTTGAACTGGCTGAAGATGATATGCCTCCCTAGTCAAACAGTGTTCACCAAAACATGCCAGAGTTCAAACCCCAGTGAAAATTCATGCCACTGGGAAGTCTTAGTAGTCATTGTAGTTGTACTAGTAGAGAGACTTAATACTTCTATAAGCCTTACTGTGTACCAGGCTAAGAGCTTATGTACAGTAATTTACTAAATCCTCACTGCAAATCCTTTGTATTATCGCCTTTTTACACATGAGGAATCTAAGACACTTGGTCCAAGGTCATGCAGACAACAAATACAGGAATAAATGATCTCCAAAGTCTATGTTCATAAACATCCAGTTGTAAAGGGGCAAAAAAGGGGGACATGACATAAGGGAAATAGTTTAAATGAAGAACCCAAGAGGGAGAATTTGAGAATGGGGACAAGAAGATACTAGAATATTTAGGTCTTCTGCTTCAAGTTAGTCTGGGGGATTTAACCATGTTTAGTGAAACCATTGATTGTAACCCCCCAAACTGCTAAAATATTATTGATCCTACAGATGATTGTGTTGAGATATATGAATACGTAGCACTACAATAGCTAACACATTGCTTATTATGCATAGTATGTCTATTGGCATGAAAAATACTATTTCAAATTTTAACTTTTTTTCAGATGAAAATATATTCATATAATTAAAAAATTATTTTAAAAATATATAGTAAAAAGTCTTCCTAATATCTATCCACCCAGTTCCCCCCACCCTATTATTTTATCAGTTTCCATATATCCCTTCAGAGGTAGATATATCCTTCTAGAGTTGCTCTTTATAAATGATATGAGTATTTCCATTTTCCCTCTTTTCTACAAAAGGCAGAGCATATTCACCATTCTGCACAAAGATCTTGGAGATATTTTTACATCAATAACACAGATATTTTTTATTTTCCAAAATATAGTATTCCATTCAGTGAAAGTACTTTATTTAACAGTTTCCTATTGATGGGCAGGTGGGGTGTTTCCAGTGTTTTGTAGCTATTACAAATCATGTTGCTATAAATAGCTGTGTACATGCATCATTTTGTACCTGTGCACAAATATCATATGCTAAATTTCCAACAGCAGAATTGCTGGTGAAAGAGAATTAGCATTTGTAATTTTGATAAATGTTGCCAAATTGTTTTCCATGGAGGTGGCTCCAATTTGCATTATCACAGGCAGTGTATAAGAGTGCCTGCTGATTTATAACAAAGCTTGTTAATTAAATTTTGGGGGTTTTGCCAATCAGATGAGAAAAAAATGGTGTCAGTGTCATTTAATTTGCATTTCTCTTATGAGTGGGGTTGAGTATCTTTTCACTGGGTTAAGAGCTACTTGTATTTTCTTTTTTTGTGGGTTATCTTTTATATTCTTTATGAAATTTTCTATTTGGTTTTTGGTCCTTTTCTTACCATGTTCTAAGAGATGGTTTTGTGTCAATAATCAACATTTTGTCTTGAAGTATTGCCCATATTTCACCTATTTTGTCATTTATCTTTGCTTTTTATTTTATTTTATTTTTTACTTTGCTATAGTGTTTTATGCCATACAGAATTGTTATGGCTTCTGGATTTGAAGACATAGCTATAGGAGTTCATTTCAAAATTATAAACAACATTTTTGTGTTTTCTTTGTCACATGTATGGTTTCATTACTTCATTTAAAATCTTCCCTCCATTTGTTATTTATTCTGGCACATAGTATAAAGTATTTATCCCAGTACCATTTACTGAATTTTTCTTTACTTTTTGGGTCACATACTACTAAATTCCTGAATGTATTTGGCTATACAAGTATTTATGAAACATTATATAATGTTCCATATATTCATCTATTTATATACACTGACATTGCACATTTAATAATTGAAGTTTTAAAATGTGTTTTTATACCTCCTAGGGTTTGTCTTCCCTCATTACTCTGTTTTTACTAAGTTTTCC